GAACTACAACAGTAACAGATTTTTATTAAATAAATAGTCGTTTTGAGCTGTATTATGATTTCGAGTAGATAAAATAAAAATAGGCTGGCGTAACATCAGCAGCAGTAATAAAGTAAATAAAAATGTACCTGCTAAATATTGTTTATATAACATCGTTTGGAAAATATTTTCACTTCTTCCTCAGATAAGCTCGTCGACAGAAATAAACTAAATATTTAGTAAAGTTTGAATAATGCATAGAAACATTTTTCGATGAATATCGCTTACTAGTGAGATCATACTTTTTTCTCAGATAATTCGCATCGAAAACTTATTGAAATTGTCTCCTCTAAATATTTAGAAATATCATATCTTAAATAGCGTCGAAATAACATTTTATATAGAACGATCACGAAAATAGACTTATGCTTAAATATTCGATCGGTAAAAACACAGCTTTGTAAACAGGAACGCGAACGGACTTTGTGGCAAGACAAATAAGTGTACTTTAACGATGTTATAAGTGTCGATAATACATAGGAATCGTGTGTAGTATCTGCAGATGCTAGGGGAACAAAATACTAGCTAGCAGATATTGCCCCTTTTTTTTACCTTTAAAAACAAGATGAGCTTTTTTGGTCATTATGACCTTAAGAATTCATAGAATGACAGAGACTAATTTTAAACTTATAATTCGAAAATAGTTATAGGAATTTATTAATTTTTTTTAGCATAACAGTACATTTTTTTACTTAAATTTAAAAGCTGAAATAAAAATCTCAAAAAATGGCTGAAATATAAAATTTTACTTTTATGTTAGAGAACATGTTTGCCAGAAGCAGATAGTGCGAGTTATTATCATTCGAGGCACTGATGTTCCGAATGATAAAGCTTTCTTGTTGGGTATTACATACCCTGCCGGTATATGATCCTGCGGTTGCCTCTTCTAAAAAGCGACCCAGAGCTATCTTACAACCTGATTATGTTCAACTACCTTTTAAACGGCGTCGGTATTCGAATACAGACGCCCAAGTGGATGCTTAACTCTCGTTCCTAAACCCCAACCCTCCCGCGTTAACAATGCGTAAGGGCATTGATCGGAGGAACCCTGTTCTTTAAAAGTCTTTTAAGAAGAGTCTTCTAACGTTTCTTTAACAAGGGACAACTTATCTCCGCAGCCGCACGCGACTGCACTTAATTTCTCAATAGCTTCTTAAAAGCTTCTTTTCCACCCGCTAAACGGGTTGCTTTCGACCCCCTAAGGGAACCTTTTAACGTCGCACTAAATAGCGACCAATAATTTTTTTCTCCTTCTTCAGTGTATCACACTGAACTGCTACTAGAACCCGCCCAACGGGTTTCGTCCCCAGCCCTTTTTGCCCAACTCTCCGGATTGCTTGTCCTAAGGATTTTATTTTGCTGTTGATATCACGAATCAAGGAAATGTATTGCACCTTTTTATTCTTTTCAAAACTTTTTGAATGTTGACTCCTCTCTCAAAATTTATTCCTGGCACTTTTAGACACGAAATTTAATTTAAAAACTTTCTAAGAGTTTTCCCTTTTCCTCATGCGGAAGGCATTATCTGAAAAGCTTTTATTTTTATAATTAGGCTTCAAAATTTTCCCTTATTAGATGAACCCCTCTTTTGATGTAATTATTTTATCTCTGATGATGAGAAGTTAAAGGCCTAGCCTAGCGCACTCCGTAAATTAACTTCCTTGATCCTTGATCCTTTCTTGTTGACCTCTGGTATCACCTGAATCATCCTTTGTTGATTACTTCCTTTTTGCTAAAAGCCTTGTGGATAGGTTAGGCAACCTATGACACTTTGGAAGAGTCGTTGAGAGGCCTCGTATTTCTAAACAAGCTTGTGTTGATCATGTGCCGATACTTGTAAGCAGGGCCGGCGCTGGACTTTTTGCCTTTTGAGTAACGCGTTAGACTTTCGCGTTACAAACACCGCGAAACCAAAATTCTGCCCCCCCCCCGGATTTTTTCCTACGTTATAACAGTTTTGCCGCCCGTTCCGAGTGCACCGGTTGCACATGCTCTTGCGCCGGCCCTGCTTGCGAGGTACGTATTGTCACGGATGAAAACGCTTTCCTTTGAAACCTGAAACCTTAAATACACGTATGTTTAATAAACTTATTGTATTATCTCATTTGCGATCCATTACCTTTTATTCTTCCTATACCTAATAAGCACATTCAGGCTACGTCTTCGGTCAAATTCTCCTGCCTAAAAATAGTATGCTTTTGTATGCCTGATCTACCCTTTAAAGTTTGTTTATGAACTTTTAGACCACCTTGAGCATATTCACTAAAATTCGGTGCAAAATTGATAGAAAATTTTTTATTTTATCTTGGCACACTTTTTTTTTCTTTCTTTCTCTTTCTTTTTTTTTTTTTTTTTTTTTTTTTTTTTTTTTTTTTTGTTGTCAGTTTGGGCCAAGAAGTTTCAAATTTAAACAAACATGGCCGCCATGGTAATCAAAAAGTAGGCTTAGCCGCACTTAAAAAAACTTTTCTATTGCTCATAATTCCACAATTATTGCATGCAAGTTAACTAAAGGCATAAAAATCTTAACCAGAACAACATAATGCAATCATTTTTAAAACAAAAAAATGCACAATTTACAAACATATAAGAATAAAGAAGCTGAGCTCACTGAGCCGTGTAACAGAGTAGATATGTACATATATTTATATACTTTTGGTGCAGCCGATTGCAACCAAAATACGAGGTGCACATCTACATGTTATAGCAGTCCTACATACAAAATTTCAACGTTCTGACGCTACTCGTTTCTGAGTTATACGTACGTAAGCACAGACGCCATGAAAAATTCTCTTCAGTATTCATTTTAAATCAGTTTCATATTTTTTTGGGGGAAAAAGAGTCCTTTATTATGTTCTTATATGCAGATGTCACGCAAAAACGTCATTAAACATTCGACAGCCGTTAAAATGGATATTTCCGTCGAAATATGATTACCCGAATTTTTTTTGCGATTACAATACTTCCTTTTTACTTCGTACAAGGAAGTAAAGAGGTATTAATAAACATGTATTAAATTCAATTAACAATGAGGAGCTAAAATTCTGAGAGCTAATTTTTTAAAAACTACTAGTGCGATTTTTACAAAAGTTAGCAGTTTGGCATAATTTGAGCCGTAGAATTGAAATATGGAAAAAAATGGCATGCCATTTGAGAAAAAGTCCTGTTTTGTGTCAAAATACCTATATTAGAACAATGCGTGAATAAGTTATCCTGTATAATGCAATACCTGTGTATAACTAATTTCCTGTGAACAATCTAACCCGTATCGTGCTTATAACCCCCTATTGCGTATAATGTTTCCTATGTATCATTAATTTCCCCGTATATAATGTAATGTGTACCCAGTGTATAATGATAATATAATGCGTATCCTGTGTCTAATGCGAATCCTGTGCAAAATAACCCTTTTATAATGTACAATATAGGGTTTACTAGAAAAGAATTTTAATGTAATAAGTTGATATGAAGTTAATGTAATGTTAGGATAAGGTATTAATTTGATATGTAGTATATAATGCAATGTGTAAATCATGTATCGTAATATATAATGTAAGATAAAGGTGGACGTGGTGCTGTACTGATTAACCCAAATGGTAAAGGGACAGTGCCCACGTCCTCCGTCGCTTATCGCTTATATATAAATCTAATACATATCCTAGGTCGCGCTTTCCAGAAATGAAAAACGCAAGTTGAATTTCATCAATCGGCCCAGTGGGAACGGGCGATTTAGAAGTGTCCCATTTCTCTTTTCGCAGTGTACGTTTTGCGAATTAACTAATTATGCAACATAATTAACTAATCATGCAACTAAATGACAGAATGTATATTCTAATAAAGATATATTACAAAACTAAGAATTAAGAAGCAGTGTGTAATTTTGAATAATAAGAAGAGAATTTTTAAATAGACTCTCTTTAAATAAAAAGTTAAACACAAATTAAACAAATAAAAATTTCCATTGTATTTTAAATAGATAATTACCTGATACATAATGTAAGGGTTAATAATATCTTTTGCTAGTTATAATAACGCTGTAAATATTCATAAAAATTATCAGTAGGATATATTACAAATGCATTTATTGCTTTTAAATCAAAGTCTGTGAAACCATACAGATTTATTAAACCAGAAAGATTAGCTTAAAATCTGATGTTTTACCGAATGGCAGAAATCTAAGAAATATGCGAGAGACCTCCTAGAAGGTAAATCTGAAGGCGTTTTCATTTCGCCTAATAGCAATACAACTGTATGAATTATACGTAACGAATGTAACGATCGAAAAATTTCGGAAAGAATCCACTATAATTTTTTGACAAAAAATTCTCCCCAAATTTTAATGCTCAATGCGAAAATTAAAATTCGAACTTACATTAGATGTACAAAGTATTTTTTTTTTTTTTTTTTTTTTTTAATAGGAAAAAGTTAAAGGCAAATACAAACTGAATCCTTTCAGCGCAAAAAATGTGCGACATCCTTTCTTTGTGATTAAACGACAGAAGTAATACAAAACGCAATTTGTGAAAGCATTTCCAAATAAATCAACACGTTTTATAATGACTTAAATGGGCAGGTCACATGTTACAGGCTTCAGAACGTAGTTTACAGTCAGTTTACTAATTAACACATGAAAAGATGCGTTAACGCGTTTTATGCGTCTCAGATAAAACAGTTTCTGAAAAATAAAATTAACAAACATTTGAAATGGCCGAATGTTCTCAAATTTACTAGCTCGCCTTTAGTTTTCTGGCAGCAGAAAAGATTTTTTTCAGGATGTATTATACTATCACCGTGTTTTTCCCCCAATGGCTCATTGCCAAACGCGCCAAAGTTACTTAACCTTCATTCAAGCAGCTATCATATCAATTTTTTTTATGTATAAAGTTCCTGGCCAAACGAAGAAATTCGCAATAAATTCTTATAATACATATTGTATAGAATATAATGCATAGTTTACTTACAGTCCTGCAAAATTGCTGGCAATTGTACAGATGAGAGCAGTATTGCCCACGATAAGAAGAAGATCCATTTTGCAGACGAAACGCAGTCCAAATATAACGAACAAAATTATTTGATCAGATTACCCATATCTCTTGACGCGAGTCCACAAACAGCTGGAAGAGCGTTGTTCTGTTTTTCATTTTAACTATCTCTGAAGTCGCAGCGCTCGAAACGTACCCTTCTTTGATTGCGTAAGTTACATAAAATAACAAGATAAATACAAGTTTTTCTCGCGCTTCCTGAACGAACATTCCGATAAAGTCTTTCGTAAACCGAAATGGCATGAAGGCAAAAATTTGTGCGTCCTTTTTCACAGAATATCAAATTTATTCTGTTGTATAAAATAAATAGCTATAATTAACTTTAATTTATCATGGTAGAATTTAGAATTTTCTGAAAAAAAAATAGCTTTTTAAATACTAAATTCGTAACAATATGTTATAAATTAGGTTGGTATCAATAATAACCGGAGTCAATGTGTACCATATTTCACAGCGCTATTTTTCCCTTTAGCTTTTTAACGCTAGGTTCTGAAAATTTTTTTTAATATTTACATAATTTCCTTCTCTCTATTGTACATAGTTTTCCCCTCTGAAGGCTAGTTTGTTGGTAATTGTATTCCATTGATTATTTTTATTATGTATTCAATTTGCATTTTAATTTTTATATTAGCATTTCATCCATTTTATTTTTCTTTGCATTTATTATTGGGAGCGTATTTTGTGTAAATTATTAAGTTATCCGGTCGTAGCAGGTCTTCTCACATTTAAGAAACTTTTCAAACATGTGATTTCACCTTATTTCTATTATTTACGTTCCAGCTCATTATAGCTTTATCTACTGTTGATGTGCTCGATCTTTCAAAATCTCAATCTTTTGCCTCCCCCTCTCTTCATTTCTCCGATATCCCTTTTTGTAACTACGGTCAAGATTCATTCATGTGAGGTGCCCCTAGGACAAGGTAAATGAGCCGGGCATTTCGCGCTTAGTTACCGTAAGGTATCCGTATGTTAATATTGTAGTTTTAATTCTAACTGGAATGTAGGTTTCTGTTAAAGAAATAATATTGTGATAGGAATAACATTGTGATAATTGCCAGTAGCTTGACCATGGCTGCTTTTCATTTGTTATGCTCTTACTGTAACCAGGTTCTTTGGAAGTTAAATTACTCACACAATTTTTCTCTCTCGATTTTCGAGATAAAATTAGTTAAAAAAATCTGATGTGGACATACCATGACTTTCTTGTACGCCTATTAAATTACATATATTCTTTGCTGCACTAAGTTAAAACTTATTTCATTCAAAAGTGAGATAGGAGTCTCTAGTTCTTTAATAAAGTGGGCAGTTGCACAATTACTAAACTATTAGTTTTTATTAATATCAGATATTTATACAATTAATAATTCAGTAGTCTTACATGAAGTATTACGTACAGTAAAATCCTTTTATTATTCTTTAAATAAACGCAAATCTTTTATATATTTAATAATATTTTTTAATTATTACGTTGCAACCCTCAACAAGATGAAAACAAAAACAAAACTTTGGGAGGTTGCTAAATTGTTAATTTAATTTTGTAGCATGTATTTACTGGGTTTAAAGACCCGAGTAATGAGCCTTTTTGGCACTGCCATTCGCAACCAGAAAGAGAGGTGCACAACTAGATGTTATAGCACTCCCATATACAAAATTTCAACACTCTGCGGATAATCGTTTTTGAGTTATGTAAGATACGTACTTAAGTACAGATGCCATGAAAAATTCCATTTTGGAATGAAAGTCCTTTATTCTGTCCGTACGTACAGATGTCATGCAAAGAAATAATCAAATTGGATTCGGGAGCATTCAGAATGGATATTTCCGCTGAAATATTGAAAACCGAAATATTTCAAAATTACATTACTGCCAATTGGGAAACTATGCTGATAAGCATAATAGTCACATCCACAAGTTAACATCACATCTACATAAATCACATACAGTTACACAAAATTACAACTAACAAGTAAATAACTATTATGAATCTGCCGCCCAGCCGGTATAGTGGTTAGTGACCGATGGAGCCGAGTACGAATGCCGGGGAAGGCATGGTTGTAACTTTTCGTCCGTTAATGTGGCCACCAGTTAGATGCTTTCATAATGAAATGACCACCACTTCCGCCCCTTGTAGTGGCGCAAGGCTATTAAATAAAGCGTTCTGCCATTAAAAAAGAAGAGGAAAAAAGTGAATTTAAATAAAATATAGTTTATACTATTTATTACTTTTATCTGTAAGATACATTCGTTACTTATTAACCAAGTTCACATATTGAGTCATTTTGGGGAGCTAATTTGGTAAAAATGTACACAGATGGTTCATCAGATGACACTGTCCAACAGGGTGGAGCCGGTATTCACATCACTCTACCCAAATGGGTCAACTACACTCTAAAGCCATAAATATTCGTTAAAGTTTTACAAAATGTGAAACAAATAATAAAACAAATTCGGGTGGAGGATAACGTAATTCAAAAATTGATGGCTCTCGGTATCGTCGTTTTTTCACAATGCGGAAAACATATATACATTCATGCAGATTCTTCATTATTTAATTTCGTTAAATATAATACAGGACGATAATATTTGGTGGCAATATTTTGAAAAGTGATTCAGTCATTTAGAGGGATTCAACGGAAAATGTCGTTTAGAGATTGACAGCCCTTCCGGGCTAACGTTCCTTTGGGGTGATAATGTAGCACATATTAAGACTATTTCTATTATATCTAGATATGATATTTATATGAAGCCGCAGAAGAGAATGATTTTCAAAACAACGTTTGATTTGCAGAACTTCAAAATTCTTGTAATGCAGGAATGTTACAAAAAAAATTACTTGTTATTCCTTTGCCCTGTTGATGATAACGAGGCACAAGATTCGAAAACACCTACTGCATTAATTCTTTTTACCGATTCTGGAACGAACGGTAGTCGACACTCATTCCAAAACCTAACGAGAATTATTTACAGATACCTAAATGTCGTACAGATATACATGCAGACGAAAATGTATTTATATTTGTTGATACTATAAAAATAACATAGAAGAAATTAAGTTATGGTAGTAATTTCAAACTACTGACTTTAAATATACTATAAACACTTCATTTTCTTCACTTAAAAACCAATTAAATTATGTTATTCAGCTGCCCATAAAAATACAGTTTTTAACAGAAATAAATAAAGAGACAAACATTTGATTACGTTGATATAAATTAAACCATTTTTTTACACATGACCAATTATACGTTGTAGGGATTTATATTTATTTTAACTAAAAATTTAAAGTTTTGAGTTTAGACCTTTCCTGTAAGCCTTCATTCCCCTAATTGTCAGTGCCAGAATAGTTAAATGTTGTTGTTTTGTTACTAATCTCCATATTTAGGAATATACTAGACGAGGTCCACGAGTCCATTCATCTTCAGAAAATCGAAAACAAGCTTAGGAGACTTGTAAAGGTCCTCAAGAGACAATTCCAGGCACTCAAGGATATGTTCCGGTGATGCCGGTGCATTTTGACATTTAGAACAAATTGGGTGCATCCTAAGACCTGTCTCAAAAGTAAGTCCTTTCAGATGTCCACTGAAGAATCGGGAAAGTGTTGTCTGAACACATCTATCGCGATCAATAGCAAGAAATATTCCAGGACAATCACCTTGATACCAGGGATGATTCGGGGGAACGAGACAAATTTGCCTGTCCGCGTGTCTTCTAATGGAATGCAGTTCAAGATATGTCAATGAATTGGTAACTGGTAATGGTTCTTCAGAACTCTCCTTCGCCAGAATGTCTGCCATTTCATTCCCCTATATGTCAACATGGGAAGGAATCCACTGAAGGTGCATTTCACAGAGTGACGAGATCTGCTTAAGCTTGCTATGAATTGCAATTCCGGCCCTATCACCAACTTTTCGCCAGTTTGAAAGATATTGGATGGCGCTACGACTGTCAGACAAAAACCATACTGCTTTAAGATCTGTAAAGGACGAAACAGCGTTTAGTCCCTCTTCGATGGCTATAAGCTATGGCTCCACCCATGAGTTAAATGTTGTAGCGCGCGTGAACGAATGCAAATTTTTTACTTTGAAGGAAGCAGTTAAAAGCCGAGTTTCGGTACGAGAAAGGGAGAGTTAGGCTCTAGCTGCCGTCGGTACGTTTGCTTATTGCTGGTTCATATGGCTTAAGTGCATTTATCTGCTGCTACTAGCTTCAAAGGGGGTTTAAGTTACGGTATCTCGCTGAGCGCTGTAGTCTAGGGTCTATCGTTTTTTCAAATTTTAGTTTAATTACGTGATTTTCAGTTACCGTCGAAGCAGAGGCGAAGTTTGTTAGCGTCGAGTTGACGCATTGTAAATTTTAAAGAGTTAACAAAGGGTACTTTAACCCTTCTCCTGTGTAGTTTCTTGCTACTCCAATTTCAGATAGAAGTTAGCCCCCCTGTTAGATATATAGAAATTAGCCCACCTGTTAGATATATAGAAGTTAGCCCACCTATTAGATAGATAGAAGTTAACCCACCTGGATTCTACAACGTAATAAAACATAATTCAAAATCTCGTATTACCGACATTTCTATTTATTGGAACAACAAATTAGGTTTTGTTTCCAAACGATCAACCGGAAGTATACTTTATTTAAAACTCCTTGTTATTTAAAACATGACCAGCTGCCGAGCGGTAAAGTCGCTGAACATTGGTAGTTCGGTCCGAGGTTCGAATCCCGCAAACGGGCTGGCTGCATGGGCGTTTTTGTGGTTTTCCCCATGTGTAACGTGTATACGAGCCAGTTTTCCTTAGAAATCCTCCACGAAGGCATCCATCCCCTTAGGCGGATAGCCCTCGATGCTTTGCCGTAATTAAATAACCTAACCTAACCTATTTAAAACATGAAATTGGCAACAGGACATGTGCTGGTCAAATCAGACTTTTTCTAAAAATTTGATTTTATATATTCCCCCCTCCATAAAGTAAGATTTAATGGGGGGGAGGAGGAAAGGATCGAGAACAATTGGCTTCGCTTGTGACTTGTGAACACGTGTAATCTAAATTGTTCATGCAGCAGTAAATATATCATTATAGGGATGAATACAAAT